GATTGAATCATAGGGCCTCTATACTCTATCAGTGGATTGATCCACCAATATATTCATAGTTAATGTGCTGCTAGGAGGTGGAACTGATTAGAAGAGGTGTGACCTGGAAGGGTGCATCTCCCTTCTTGCCTCCTCCCTTCACTCTCTGCTTCCTTCCTGCCATGAGGTGAGCAGCTTTCCTCCATCACACCCTTCCACCATGATGTTTTTGCCTTGGAGCCAGCTAACCATGGACTGAGTCTCCTGAACCATGAGCCAAATTAACCCTGTCTTCCTTTATGCTGTGAGTGTCAGGTATTGTGTTCTAATGATGGGAAAGCTGACTGATAATATTTTGTTTGGTGCTCTCATCTGGATGTTGGCATTTCTACTTCTGTCCTCCAGAACTTATATTTTCTCTTACACTTTCTAATTCTTGGTCCCTTTCTGTGGTGGATTAACTAATGGTCAATTTAAGTGGGAACTCCCAGCTGAACTGAGTCAGTGTGGGTCTAGGTATGAAAGACCCACCTGAAGATTATTGCCAATGGCATAAAAGAAAAACAGGAGAGGAAGGTTGTATGCTGATTTCCCAGGAGAAGCTTTGTTGTGGCTGGTTTTCCTAATACAAACTCAGCTGTTCTGGTCAAAGGAGGAGCTCAGGTTCTTTTTGTCTCTGGGGAGGACTGATGTTCTCTTCAGGGGAACTCTGGAATTCACTTTGAACATTGCTTGCTGGTTCCAGTGCAGATCTCTCAGTCTTCTGGCACAGATCCTTCACATTCCTGGCCCAGATTTTCTAGCCTCCACCACTGATCTTTGGGTCTTCCTGGTGTAGATCCTTGATATGGACTTGCATGAAACATTGCTGTGGACTCTAGGCCTCAAGCTGGACTCTTGGAGGACATTGCTATGGGATCCAGGCCTTTGACTGGATTCTTTGTGTCTCTACCACATGGACAGATCTTTTGCATTCTTCTGCATTTGACCTTTTGGGTGAATATTATGAGATACTCCTATAAATTTATGTATCCTATATCAAACCTATTTCCTTGCAAACCACTAACCACAACACTTTCCTTCTACCTTTGTCAAGAGTTTGTCCAGATGAGTCTTAAAGTTCACTGCTTCCCTCACCACCAGGATTCAGCCTGCCTATCTCATCTATTGCCCTCTCCGACTATTTTTTTCTGGTCTCCGCCCCCCTCCACCCCAGGGATTAACCCACAGCCTGAGCTCTTTGTCCGCAGCCCATTTTTTATATAAAGACAGGGCCTCACTAAGTTGTCCAAGCAGGACTCAAATTTGCAATCCTCCTGCCTTAGTTTCCCAGAGTGCAGGGGTTACAGGCATGGACCACCACCCTGGGCACTTGATTCTTCCGAAAATAATTTTCTGTTTTTCTGCTTCATAAGTAAATTTAAAACATTTATTTTAAATTCAGGATCCATCTGTTACAGCAAGCCTGCCCCAGATTTGTCTGTATTGTTCAGTTTTCTGTCTTTCTTTTAGCCAATGTACTCTGTTGACCTGTGGGCTTGTGTTTCCCTTAGGGGCTCCATAATTCAGAATGGTGAAGTACCCTGGGGAGGAGATGAAAGTAGGTCCTAGTCTTTAAGGTCCTGACTTTAAGGCAAAGGGTTAAGCCACTCATGCTGGGCACCACACAGCTGCAACAAGACACTTTCTTTTGCTGGCACCTCCTATGACTGGGACTCTTTCAGGAAAGCAGCACTAAGTGGAGGCCTCTTCCTGGATATGCAGAACTGAGAGGACAGACATCAATTGTCCAAGACAGCATGGGTGGCACAACATTCTCCTCCAACCCAGCTTCTCACTTTGATCTCATCCCACTCCCAACCCACCTGTTAGTTCCTAGAACCCCACCTTTCCCAGTCAGTTCTCCAGCCATGATTTAGGGCAATGGTGGCAAACTGCACCCATGCTGAAGTGGGCTGTTTATATCATTGAAAACTCTAAAAGGTTCACCATGGCTGACTGAGAGACAGAGGAGGCAGCCATCTTGGTAGGAAGTCTCCACACTGCGCATGCTCACACCTGACCCACCAACCTCCAAACCTGATGCTGCACCACACTTACTGTGTGGACGTATCCTGCTATTCCCGCATAGAACCATCTGGCTGCACTAGCTGTACCCAGATTTCTTTCAAACCAACTGCCCAGAACAGGCTGGCCTTCCCAGAGAACCCTCTTGTATGTAGCCTAAAGGCCTCTATTAAGGCTCATTATCCCAGTTTATGGACTCAAAAATGAAGCACAGTGAAGAATCTTAAAGCTTATCCTGCCGAGAGGGGGAAACCTGGAAGGACTGTGAAGACAGCTGAAGAGCATAGGCACCTGAGTTTGGCAGTAACTCTTACTGAGGGTCAAGAGAGACAACCTGGAAGTACCTTGGCTGACATCCTTGACCCTCCCCTCCCCGCTCCACACTGCCTTCTCCTCCTTCCCTTCCTGACCCCCCAGCTTCCTTTCTTTTGCAGGTGCAGTGCAGAGCCTGGCCTTGGGGACAATGGCTGCGCTGATGGCCTGAGGGCTCTGCTTCTGCTGAGAGCACACCTCTCTCCCTTCACTTCCCCAGGCTCAGTCCTATTCAGAGAACAGCTATAGGACTAGAAGCCTCCAAGAAACATCTCCCACTTTCCCTGTGGAGTCTGTACAGAGGTGTCTGTGTGAGAGAATGAGCATGTGAGGCTGTGCGTGCATACCAGCGTGGAAGTGTGGGAATGCTGCTGTGTGTGAGAGCGTACATACGGGGAATAGGAGTGAAATTAGCGCCCCAACACCCCCGCCCCAACACCCTTCTCTGATCTCTGGGGAGGTGCCCATTGAGAGGGCAGGGCGCCACCTGGTGACCACAGACTGCAGTGCAAGCCCCAAGTCACATGCCCTTCTTTTCCACCTCCAAGCATGAGCATAGATATAAATACAGAGGATAAACACACACTCACACACACACACTCAAGCACGCACCACGCATGCACTCTTTCTCTAATTACAGCTCCTTCTCTGGGGCCCGTCCACTTACTTGCCACTCTGTGCCCACCACAGTTCTATAGACTGGAGACGGTGGCCCTGTGCCCCCCGAGTCTTCTGTCCCAGAGAAGGAGCCCTCGGAGGGGAGGCAGACAGGTGCTGCTCACATCTTAACCCTAGCGGGTTCTTAACCTCTCTGAACCTCACCCACTCAATCCTTGTGAAGTTTAAAGAAAATGTAAAACCGAATCATTAAGAGGAAAGGCAGGTCAGTAACAAGAAGCCAAAATGCCAGCCCTGGGTTCTGTGACTGATGAGGGCCACCCGCAAGCTCCCATCTGTCCTCCACCCTCCTGTGGGCCCTCTCTGCGGCCACCCTGACAGCTGCTCACCCCACAGCAGGGTGTGTGAGGCTGGTGCTCAGCAGCCCCAAGGGCCCTTACTGAGGGGCACAGACCCCACGTTCTAGGGCACCTCGCGGTCCCCCTGCACCCTATCCCTCTGGTCATCAAGTCCTGCCAACCTAACATCTCTTGGGTCCCCTCCTGGCCCGGCCCATGGCAGAACATCACCCACAGACTGGCTTCTGCCCCAGTTCTCCCCTGGTAGTCATTTCTTTGCTGTCCAGCAGGCACTTCCTGCTGGAAACCTGGCCCACACAGCAAGGGCGACGCTGGTGTACAGCCTTCCTAAGCTGGCTTTATCTCTTCACTCCTCCACGGGCTGCCACTTCTTTCTCTGCGCTTTCACATGTGCAGTTTCTTCTGCCACCAGCGCCTGCAGGAAAACGCCACCTCCTCATCTTGTCATTTCACAGTGGTTCTTGGCACTGTGGTCCAGCCTGGAGCCCGTGGCCTGGCATCCTGGAGGCTTGTCCCTGCCTGTGTCTGAGTTGGGATCTGCCTCCTGGATCAAGCTGGGAGACCCTCCATACCAGGGGCAAGGACAATGTTAGCTCTCGGCACAGGGTCCCGTGTGTATGAGGAAATTATTTGTGGGTTATTCACTCAAATTGGTGGCAAGGAGGTATATGTCACAGCAAGTGCCTCAAGGGAGGGCTGGGACAGAAGCACATGTGTGGCTGAGAGGGCAGGAAAGCCCCTGAGTTTGTATTCAGACTGGGTTTCCCCTTTGTCCAAAGGTTTAAGAGGGCCACACACATAATTCAAGATTGGGGGTCAAGGGCAGAAAAGCAGCAGTATTACCCACACAGACCCCGGCGTCAGCAGGCACCATTAGAATAGCCACCTCCTGCCAGCCCTGGGCCAGGAACTGCCCCCTCCTACCTAGGCCCTCCTGGCCAGGACCCAGTCCTGTGCTGTGACAAAACAGATAGCTGGGGCAATCCCAAAGCGGGTTGGGCAGGGCAGCGGCTTGGAACCCATGCCCTGGAGAAGGATCGGTCAGCCTAGAGAGCTGGTTCCAAAGCCCAACAGGCTATGCGCAGTGCCCACAGGTTGGCTCTGTGGCCCTAGAGGCAGGGCTGGCATTCCAGGGGCATTGCTATGGTCACAGGATGTCTGCCCATGTCTTCCCAGGCTGCCCTCCCTGCAAAAAGGACAGCACAGAGTCCAGCCCTTTTGCAGACCAACCCAGTCCTGACATGATAAGCAGGGAGAGGTAGGAGGGGGTTAGGAAAGTTGGCGGTCAGGGTCTGGAGATCACCAGGCAGAGCCTCCTTGCAGCCCCCAGTCTGAGCCTGCCACTGTGAGCAGAGTCGATGCTCTCACAGCCAGGTGAGCAGGGATGAGACCTCTCAGGTCTCCCTTTACAGTCCACAATCTCTGTCAACCACTGTATCCTCTCACTATTCCATGCCCACGCCTCCCCTTCTTCCACCCACCCCTAAGCCCCCACCATCTGTCCTAAGGTGGCACAGGTTGTAACCCACCAGGCTTACAATTCCACCAGGTCAGCCTAGGATGGGATTTCTGCTAGCCAGGGAGTTCCAACAGCTCTTGCCTCTCCCGATTCTGTTTCCTGACCGTCCTCTGCACAAAGTTTCCAAATAGCCCCATGAGGGAGAGTTGGTAGAAAGAAATAGATTTATTCTCATGTACAAAGCGGTCAGCCCACAGGACCACATACAACAGGTGCACAGGGTCCTAGAAAAACGCATCTCTCTAAAGGCAACTCAGAGTAGGTAAGGCAGGTGGCCCCTCCCTGCCCACAACACACACAAAAAAAATAGAAGAGAGAAGCCAATGGCCAGGTTGACCCAAGAGGCCCGGGGCACAGGTGGATATGGCCTTGGAGAGGAGAGAGGCCCTGCCGGGGCGAGGTCAGGTCCCTCTCTGGCTGTAGGACTGGGGGACGGGCTCAGGCTAAGGGGGACACTGAGGGGTTCACGGTTGGGCTTTCTGTGCTCTAGGGTGACACAGACAACCCACGACCTCTGCTGGGATGCCACAGAGATATGGGGACTAAAAGGAGTCTCAGAGAACAGATTGTCTTACCTCCTGTTTTGCCTCGATAGGGAAGGGAACTTGCCCAGGGTCACACAGCCAGGAGAAAACATCACCGACACACCTGCACCTGTCTCCCAGCCTGGGGAGCCTTCCTGCCTACCATTCCCATCTGCTTTCTGCCTGAGCCCCCAGAGCACTGAGCTGCCCCTCTGGGGCCACTGTATGCCCCAGATCCCAACCCACCAGAAGCAGAGGGTGGTCTTTAGGGGCACCTTTGCCCCATGGCTGTTGTAGTCCTCTAGCAGAACCGGTGACTGTTTCCCACCCTCTGCTCATGTAGGTATCCCACCTTCTGTGCGGATCCTGGACACCCCAGGGGACAGGGCCCCCCAGGGAAAGGGCACAGATCTGGTAGGTCAGGAAGGGGACACAGAAGGAATCCCCCACCTGACTGCTCAGAGAAAGCATGGCTTGAGGAGGACTTGCCAGGGTGTGGTCAGAGGTGCAGAGTGGAGCCCACTGCCACCCCCACACTCTTAGAGGACAAATGACAAAGTCTCAGCAAGCTGGAAGTCTTGCTTCTATTCCCTAGACAGGAAAGCTGAGGCCCAGGAGGGTCAGGATGTCCCCAGGGTCACATGGGACACCCTATCTGGAGCCAGGACTCATGGCTCTGGTTTCCAGTGCCTTGGTCCAGACTAGAGGAGGGTGGTGGGACAAGGAGCTGGGCGGGGAGGGTCTCAGGAGGGGGTCACTCAGCATCTAGGCTGCAGCAGCCGTTGACAGGGGCCCTGGTGCCATCCAGCCCGGGCACCTCATACTCTTCATCCAAGAAGTCCAGTGAGTTGTTGCTCGGGAGGCCGCGGATGGTGAACTTGTGGGACACCTTGGTCCAGTGCTCACGGTTGGAGGCTACACGCTCGTATAGTTCTGCCGCCTTGGGGAACAGGTCCTGCAACAACCTGGGGTGCACAACGCAGGGGGAGAGGTCAGAAGTCAGAGCATGAGCAGCAAGAAAGAGGGGGCTGTGCCACAGGTAGAACTTCCACAAGAGTTGGAGCCGTGGGACTATCACAGGAAAACATGGTGGTTCTTTCCACTGGGAACCAGGGGTGAAGTAAAGGACCCAGCCAGGCACAAAGCAGGAGATAGCTGTGGATCAGCTGGAGCCGGGTAAGGACAAACTCTGCACCTATGCACACTGTGATGGCCACAGCTGCCTCACCCTGCCCACCTTCCAGGGGCATGGTCCCCAGCCACACGTGAGCTCACTCACTTGTAGATGGGCATTGCAATGTGCTCCATGAAGCTGATCTGCAACTCGGGGATGTAGGCCTTCTCCCGGTCCATCATCTCCATTGGCCTGTTGCCCATGGCTTTCTCCTGAAGGCATCAAGTCATCTTGCTCCTCATCTTGTTCCTCCATCAGGTACCAGTCAGGCTAACCCAAGCCCTCCAGGCCCAGGCCAGGAGCCCTCCCCCAACCTGGAAATCCGAGGTCATCGCACACATACCAAGTCTCCCTGGGAGAAGAATTCTTTGTAGATCAGCTCCTGGAAGGCAACACTCTCATCACATCCTGTGGGTGGCCATGCGAGCCCATTCCCAGGACTGCAAGGAGGTCCTATAATTCAGTCTCATAAGGGCCTGACCTCGCTAGCCCTGGTCTGGCCACTGGATGGCCCTAGACTGCATAGAGTGGCTGACTGTGGCCCACCTTCCACAACCACCGACATGCTACATGACCCGTGGCAATCCTGCGCCCCTCTCCAGGTCTTCTTGAAATGATCTTGGTTTCTGTCTCCTCAAAATACAGCCAGGCTGAGCTCAGCATAGGGAGGGTGTTCAGGCTGGTCAGGGCATGCAACCTGTGCCTTCCCAAGGAGGGGGACACTTACAGCAATCTTTCTGGTGGTCTTCCAGCCCTTGGTCTGGTCAGAGAGGTCACAGGAGGTCATGAGGAGGCAGAGGAGGAGTCTGTGGTGCTGCTTGTTGGTTCGGTCATAGCCCACTGTTGGGGGAAAGATGGGTCCATGAGAGAGATCCAGCCTCTGTTCCCCTCTGAGGACAAGGCAATGAGGGGGCCAGGGAATTGGGCAGTCCTGATGGGGCCAGGGGCCAGTGCTGGTCTGCCTGGAGAAGCTGTGCCACCAGGGAAAGGCTGATGCTGGAAGGGCAGGAGTCTGAAGCCCGGAGAATGTGCCCCAGGCAGATCCTGACCGACCCTCCCTCCCCAGCCAAGGGGCTGGGGGCTAAGGGTGGGCACCTTCAGCCATCTTCTGGAGGTCCTTGAAGATGCGGAGGTGGTGGGCCAGGTCCGTGGCCAAGATGATGTCCCTCATCAGATCCAGCATGCGCTGATAGTCCTGGGGCAGACCAGGGAATGGTGTCATGGCCACCAATGGGCACGCCCCACCCACCCACCCGGAGGTGCCCACTCAGCTCCTTCTGCAGGGTCAGCAGCTTCCAGCCCCCAACCCCTGAGCCCATCCCCCAGCCCATCACCTTCCGGGAGAAGTGATCGAAGATGTTGCAGCCATGGGTGTTGAGGATGGCGATGGCCTGAGCAAAGTGGTGTCTCTGCAGGGAGAGGAGAGAGGCCCTGCCAGCCCTGGCTGTGGGCTCAGCAGGGCAGGCAGAAAGGGGAGCCAGGGGGCCCAGATCCCTCTCTGAGCTGCTTCCACCCTCTATGTGACCTGGGCCTGTCCCTGGCTGGCTCTGCGCCTCAGATTCCTCAGCTGCCACTTGGAGACACCCAGGAAGGTAAGCTTGGAGGGCCTCACAGGCTGGAAAATTTTCACATGATCCCTTGAAGTCCTAGACACTAATTCATGCAGAAAACATTTGCCTGATGACAAGGAGAGGCAGTGACGGGGTGAGAGCAAGGCCCTGTCTCTCAATGCTGAAGGGCTGTCAACTGGAGGAGGAGCCGGCTCATCTCTGGGAACAGAGGGCACTACCAGGGCTGCCCCCAGGCCCGGGAGAGAGGGAGCCCTGCATGCCTCTTGGGGGGATGTGCAAGCAGGGGCAGCCTCTAGAGCTGTGTGTCGGAGGCAGCTTGGGGCAAAGTCATCTTGGAAATTTGGCCCCGCCCTGAGCCATAACCTGTGCCCCGGCCCAAGGAGCTGCTGTGTGTGGAGGGCAGACCACACACAACAATCTAAGGCAAAGCTGAGAGTGATGAAGTGGAGCCCCACTGAGGTGCTCCCGGAGGGGGAAAAGGAGCCATGCCAGACCCAAGACCTCCTTTTGCAAACTGGGTCCAGGTGGTCGCTGCAGCACCCGTTTATCCCATCTGCAACTGCACCCTCCAGGTCCCTCCAGAAAGATGAGGGGATATGCATCCCCCAGGGTGGCTGCAGCTCCAGCAGGCTGTCAGGAGAGCATGGTTTGGGGACAGGAGCTGGGCCATACTCTAACTTTGCAAGTCACTGGCCTCGTGGGGGTGGACCAGGACTTGGGCAGAACGGTCATACCTCCATGACGGAGCCCTCGGAGCTGTAGAGTGCAGCCAGCACAGATTTCTGCAAGAGCCCGGAAACTCCAGTCACTCCTCCCACCCAGGCCCAGTGCCCGCCACGACTGAGGTTCAGCACTGGCCTGCTGTTTCCCGTCTCCTGGGCTCACCGGCCCCCACCTGGGATGGAGACTACAGATACCCCAGAAACAGTCCCCGCTTTGAGGAGGGCCAGGTCTCACCGAGGCCACCTGGAAGGAGTTGTTTGTGCCTCTGTGATCCAGATCGTGACACATGCAGGAAATAAACAAGGCAAAGATCTCGATGTCCCTGGTTGGGAGACAGAAAGGAAAAGAGTTCACTCACACCCCCCTCTCTGGGGCCCCTGAGAAAGGACAGCTGAATGAGATGTCCGGCAGCCACCCAGATAACCGGTCAGGACACCCAGCTCTCCTTCCTGCAAAGAGACACTGATCTGGAGTGTGACTGACCTGGCTGGGGTCGGGGACAGGCCCATTACTACTGACTGTGTGGCGGTGAAGCGTCCCCCCGGGAAAGTGGGGCTACACACCCCTCCTCCCAGGGGTGGTGGGAGGAGCCGATGAGTGATGCAGATAAAGGGTCTGCCACACAGGAGCTGCCTCCTGCCAGCTGCAGGGATGGCATGGCCACTCACTCGAGGTAGTTGGTAAGCTCCAGGTTCTTATAGAGCAGGTAGCAGAAGTGGGAGACAGAAAAGGCGTGCATCCAATTGTGGTAGGGGGGATCCCGATAGCCCTTCTTCACCATCAAACAGAACCTGGGGGAACACAGAAACCCAGCAGAGGGGCCTCAACTTCTCCTCCTCCTCCAGGAAGCCCTCCAGGCTCTGCCCTGCCCTACTCCTCGCCTTTCTTTATTCACGATCCCCATACCTCAGAATTTCCTCTTACTCATGAATCCTCCCCACCCTCACAAGACTGAACCTCCCCTAGTCATCCTCAGAGAGACCCCAGAAGGTTGGGTGCAAGAGATATGAGCGTGGGGGCCAGGAGGAGACAGGCACTGGGACTGTCTGTGCTGAGGGGACAGCTCGGGGGACACACCGGGCCAGCGTCGGGCAGTCGATTTTGTAGTTGTTGATGAAATTCATGTCCTGCAGCATGCTTAGGATGGCCTGCAGAGGAAGGAAGGAAGGGCTCAGCGGGACTGTCAGACTGAGGGTTCACGCTTCTTGTAGCCCCACATTCAAAATTTTTAGACTTAGAACTTTAAATCGGAGGACTATAAAGACTGAATCAGACACTCTTAAGACATCTAAAGGACCCCAAAATGGAGAACTCTTGCAATGAAACTCATCCAAAGACTTAGAGAAACAGAGCAGAGACTAAAAATCCCAAGGCCACATGCCCAGGGCGTCGTAGCTCTGGAGCAGCTCTTGCGGATCATCCAGTGCAGCCCTGGATGGCCCCAGGGCGTCGTGATGGCAGAGCGCATGCCCATTCCAGCTCTGCAGGAGCCTCCCTAGCCTTCCTTATGGACCGCATCTTACAAGAAGTTCTTCTGCACATCTAACTTTCACCGCGGGTTGCACACTCGCCACCTCTTCAGTCAAGCAGGGGAGGGTCAGCTCACCATGGAAGTGTCATCCTCGGGCAGAGAGCGAGGGGTGTAGGTGAAATTGGCAAAGTTGGAGTCGATGGCAGCCACAGGCTGGATGCCGTCGTGGAGGAGTTTGGTGTATTCATCGTCAGAGACCTAGAAGGGCCCAGCCAAGGCATTAAACACGACCTCCTCCTTTCAAATCTCCCCAGCCTTCAATTCCCATGACAGTTGTGGGGGTCCCTCACCCTGAATGCCCCACAGTCAGGCTCCCATTCCATGGACTGCCACTGGGCAGGTCACTACCCTCCCCTCACAGCCTTGCAGCCCACCTGTAGTGCCCCCAGCCTATCTTCAGCAAAGATAAGGGAGCATCCCCTCTGCAAAACCCTCAGCCACGGTGGCCTTTCATAGACACTAACTCCAGCATTCCTTCTCGTGGGAAACCCTCCCACATCTAGCCTCAATCTTTCCTACTACAATTTTGAGCCTATTCACAGAGTCTGAGACCCTTCAGTTTGGACACAGATGAAAGGAGATGTCCACATGAACAATGATTATCACATACTCTGAACTAAGGCGTGGGACAGCTCTTCTGACACAGGGCCTAAGAATGGGCTGGTTGTCAGCAATTCAGGCTGGCTACCATACCCCAGGAAGTGGGGAAAAGCCCTGGGCTGACTTCCCAGCCTGCAGTAATTCCCACAATGGGGATTATTCCCTGGACATGGGGAACACGTGGCTGGCCCAGGTTCTTCCCTGGGTGGAGTCCTACGGCTACTTCCAGCCTTAGGGCTGAACTGAGAACCAACCTGGAGTCAGGGTGTTGCTCTAGGTCTGCCTTCTCACCCCCAGGAGAGAATGATCAGAAAGCCCCAGCTAGCAGCACCCAGGCCACTGAGGATTCTGGAAGGCGGGGATGGAGTGTAGAGGAGCCTGTGTCCCCGGGACCCCGAGAAGGACAGAAGGACAAAACCTCACCTTCATGTGGTACATCATCATCTCATTGGCCAGGTGGCTGCGATACTGGGCCTCATTCACTTTTTTGTACAGGAGAGACTGAAGAGAGAGAGGGAAAGGTGGGGTTAGAGCCAAGTGCTGTGAAAGCCTCAAAAGGTCTGGAGCTGGGACAGAGGGCTTGAACGCAAGCTCCCTTCCTCACCCCTGGGGCCCCAGTCTGAGCCTTTGGGCTTCAACCCCAAGTACCACCCTCTTAACACTCCACACCCCTCCTGAGCCCGACCCAGGCCTGGGTGGTGGATCCTGAGGCTCGTGACAAGAAAAGAGAAGCAGGGCAATGTCGGGGGTTGGATTCTCAGGCCAGAGCTGCCCGCAGGCTGGCACGACGAGATCCAACATTTGCCAAAAAGAACCTGCTCAGAGACTCGGGTTAGAGCTGCTTCCAGAGGAGAGGGAGAGATTTTGGCAACCAGAGTTTTTCATGATCCTGGAAGGCTGAGTAGACAGGGCAGGAAATACTACCCCCAATTTTCAGATGGAACTGAACCCAGAGGTGGCCAGCAGGTACACGGCACCCTGGCCCCAGGCTCTGAGTTCCAGCCCTGGGAATGGAGCATAGGACAAAGCAAGGAGATCCAGTAGATGCAGCAGAACGGGGTCCCACATCAGCCCGCCAAGTCCCTCCCCTTACATGGGCAATGCTGATGCCGCAGTAGATGGAGAAGGCGGTGGCCAAGTCCTCGTCGAACTTGCTGAACCACGGCCCATTGATCTTGTTCACCAGCTCCGCCACACCAATGACCTCTGGAGAAGGGAGTGGGACTGAGAATGACTGACTGGTGGAGGGCTCCAGGGGACCTGTCCTCCCAGGGCTCCTTTCTTTTTTTTCAGCAGTAGGGATTGAACTCAAAGCCTTCACACTGTGCTACATCCCCAGCCCTTTTTTATTTTGAGACAGGGTGTTGCTAAATTTCCCAGGCTAGGTTCAAACTTGTGATCCTCCTGCCTCAGCCTCCTGGAATGCTAGGATTACAGGCGTGAGCCACCACTCCTGCTCCAAAGTTTCTTCAGGTAACATCCTACTCCTAGGAAACTTTATCCCTTCAGCTCAGGGGTCCCTGGCGAATCGGGGAAGAGTTGTGACTGAGCCACTCTACACACACACACACACACACACACACACACACACACGCATGCCCTGGCTTGGCCCCGCCCCCATGCCAAGAGCTCGCACCTTGGTTCTCGTTCTTGATGGGGAAGCAAAGGATGTTGCGCGTGCGGAAGCCGGTGCTGTCGTCCACGCCGCGGTAGAAAAGCGGGTGGGCGTATGCGTCTGGGATGTTCAGGATCTGGCCGGTGGTTGCCACATGGCCTGCGATGCCTTGATCAGCTGGGATGCGGATCTCATAGCTCTGAAGAGGCAGGGATGGAGGAGAGAGGAAGTTAGTGGAACAGGCACAGAGGGGACCAGCAGATATAGGGCCTGCTCCCCAGCGCCCTCTATGGGCCCCCAGACCTCCTCCCCACACACATACACTCTGTCTCTCTGTCTCTCTCCGTCTCTCTCTCTCCCTCCACACTCTCACCTCATCATCCACCACACCTCCGTCGAACACCTTGGCCACCAGCTCGTTCTGATCCAGCAGGAACACCGAGCAGCTGTGGGAAGAACAGATTGGTCTGCAGGGTTCTGACACATCTCTCCCACCACCCCACTTGGTGAAGGCCGGATTTCTGAGGCCCTGCAGGAGGGCAGAGGTAAGATCCTCTCAGGGTTAACCGACTCCAAGCATTCTTTCCTTCAAAAAAAAATTTTTGGACACCTATTATGTGCGAGGCTGGGGACAAAGCCAGCCCTGCCCCTGGTGAGGAAGACGGAGAGGAAATAAAGGATCTGCCAAAGGGTGGTGATTGGGCCTCATAAGAAGGCTGGGGAAGAGTGAGGAAAGGAGGGCAGGAGGATTGAGGCCTCGGGCCTGCTTCGTCCCATCTCCTGGGGGGCTTTGCTCACATCTCTGCATTGCTGAGGTTTCTGGCCTCCGTGATGATCTCTTGGAGCAGGACAGAGACATCATCTGTGGGAGGGAGAAACACAGGCAGAGGTGAGACCAGGCTGCAGGTTTGAGGCTGGCCCTCCGTCTCCTCCCCAACTGTCAGTGGAGGAGTACAGTGCACTCACCCAGGTGAGTGAAGAGGTTCTTTGCCACTTGGAGAAGAGCCTGGGATGGAGGAGATTGGATCATAAGGGGGTTGGGTCACCCCACCCAGCTCCCAGCTTCAATACCCCAGGAAGTTCTCCATCCTCCCCTGGGACTCTCTGGACAGGTTGGAAACAGTCAGTGATTAATAAATTATTTAGCTACTAAGTACAATATTCACCTTTTATTCTAGCTTCCCAGATGTTTCTGTAGTGCCCATGTTGAACACTAGAGGGCAGTGACACACAGGGCCTGCAGCCCGAGGTACCCCGCCTGTGGAAACCATGGACCTCCCTAATAGGAGCGCTCCAGGTCACTAGGTCACCTACCCAGCAGCCACTGGCCCAGAAGGATACGAGCCTCTCCCTGGTGGATGGATCTCCAGGGCAAGAGCTGGGCGAGGAGGGTGAGCAGGTCCCCGGAGGGGCTCGAGGCAGACAACTCACCTGGCACTCACACTTGAGCTTCTGCTCCTTCTGGAAAGCCAGGGTGCTGGTGAGCACGGTGCCCGTGTAGTGGAAGCAGTGCTGGATCACACGCTCATCCTGGCCTGTGAACCTGGAGGCGGGGCCGGGGGTCACCAAAGAGGGAAGGCAAGACCGGCTTCTCTTTCCACCTCTCCTTACTTCCACGCACCAGGAAGCCAACCATAACGCTCCACAACTGGGGCTGCTCTGTTGCCTGCCCCCCACCCTCGAAGACTAGAGGGAGGGTGCCACTCCTCCTCAGACCAAGATGTAGTTTCCCCTCAGGCTGTTGCTGTGTTTCTGATTTTGAAACAGGTCTTGCTATGTTGACCTCGAATACCTGGGCCTAAGCAATCCTCCCGCCTCAGCACCCCCAGGAGCTGAAACTGTAGGCACAACACAGCACCCAGAGGGGATTTACCCAGACCAAGGCTGAGAGCCCTCCTTCAGCCTAGACACTTGCCCAGGCCAGAGCTGGGTGTTCCTCTCTTTTTCCCCAGTGCTCTCCAGCCTCAAGGAGGAGCAGTGCCAGAGAAGGGAAACAAGATTGGACACCAACATGGCTTTAAATAAGCCAAAACGGGTGACAGAGTCAGCGATTACTTGTGCCTCAGCCAGCAGCAGCTGCCAGGGTCTAATAGCCTCCTTAATCCCACAGCCTTGCCCTGACACACTGTTCAGCTCACCACTACTCAGACAGTGCCCCCTGCCCAGTCCCTTCCCACACTGATGCCCAGGTGGAACCCTGACCACCCCTGTGCCAGACTCACAAGTCTCCTCCAAGCTTGTTGAAGCTACAGGCCAAGGCCACCACTTGGTCAGTAGCGCGGCTGATGACAGGGACACAGAGCATGGTCTGTAGCTCACAGCCCAGCATGTTCTGCAGCTGCTTCACGTCCTCCTGCAGAGGGAAGGCAGGGACAGGGTGGCCAGGGTAAGGAAGGAGAGAGGGACCATTTTCCTCCCCAGCTCTCCCCCACACGCCCCAACAGGTTATGCATGGGGACAGGAAGTTACAAAGTCCCAGGGTCTCATGTCCCCATTTCTAGCCTGCACTGGCTTTGGGGTCTCTGTGGCGGGTCTCCCCTCTCCCTCCTCCAGCTCAGCCTGGCCATGGCTTACAGAGGTGAGGTCCTGCAGCTGGATGGACTTCTTGTCTTCCACCACTCGGCCCAGGCGTCCCATTGTTAGCTGGGGAGGGAGGAGAGGCTGAATCAGGGCCCAGCTTTCTCCAGCTCAGGGAATCTGAACCCATCCCCACTCCTTAGGTCTGGAAACTTCAACACTCTTCAATCAGTCCAAATAGTGGGTGGAGCCAAACTGAGGATTAGAGAATTGCAGGGAGGGGTCTGACCAGGTCATCTATAGAGGACTTTAGGGTCTTCCTTAACTAGGAGAAAGATAAGCAGACTTTGAGGATTCTCACTGATCTCAGTAGCTTCTAACAGCTTCACATCTAGAAATATTCCAACAGAAGTGAGCTGGTCCCAAGTAAGCCTTCCTGTCGATAAGAGATTTCTCCTACTGCAGCCTGATCATGAGGGACTGTGATCCCCTGTAACATTTCTAAGTAGATCCCAGGATCCAAATTAATTCCACCAAAGTCCAAGGGATTCTAGAGGACCCGGTCCCTCTAGGCAGGTCCCAGAATTTTCTGATGGGTCTTAACTGTCCCTGCGAGTCCCTGTGACAGCTCAGGAGACAGATCCAGGACTCACAGGAAAGCTGATCTCTTCCCCCAGCACTTTATCTCCGATGACCTAAGGGAGCAAGAGATGGGGATTGGTTAGTCTGTGGACAGGCAGTAACGGGTCCCTCGCCCTACCCCTGGCCCCACCCCACCAGGGACCCGTGTCTCACTTTGCAGGAAAGCTGTAGATTGTCCTCTGACACTAGCAAGAGGCAGCAGCGGGATGCCTGCGTCTCCTGCTGCAGCTGAGAGGGGGCAGACAGAGAGAGGTGCTGATCACAGATCTGGAGTCACCCGCACCTCCACCCTTTCGCCTCTCTTAGCTTCTTTAGGGCTGGTGGAGGAGAGAAGACGGGGGGGGGGGGGGGCACCTTGCGCTCTGAACCGAGCTGGAGGGCTCAAAGGGATGCTGAACCTTGGAGGGAGGCAGGGCGCGGAAGTGGGCTGGAGGGGCTCAGGGGCTCAGGGACTCACGTATTGGAGGACTTTGAGCTGCAGCAAAGTGGCGTCCAGGTCATAGAGTTCCCCTGCAAGCGCGGGGCGGAGTTAGAGTCCTGACTTGCCAGGGTGGCCGGGTCCCTCAGGAGAGGCCCAGTCCTGGACTTTTGCAAGGCTCCGCCCCCTCCCTTGCCTCACTTTTGAGTTCTCGCCAAGGCCCCGCCCCTTTCAGGCCCCTCCTCCTTAGGTTCCTCCACTGCAGGTTTGACCCGGTCCGGTTCTCGTGTGCTTCCCAGCCTGCGTCCTCACCGCACAGTTGCAGGATCTTGCGGTCCTGGTCTGTGTATGCTACGTCGCTCTTCTGGTCTTCTGCAGCCTCAGCTGGGGGCTTCTGGATCGCTCCGGAGCCCACTCCGGGCCCGCGCTGCTGCAGGGCCTGCACCCTCCGCAGGGCCACCAGGGTCTGGGGCCGGCCAAGGAGTCAGAGCGCCACAGCCCCCACCCCACCCGCTTCACCATGCGCGCCGTCCTGGGCCTCCCCGCGTTTGCCCAAGCCGTTCCATCTGCCTCCTGTGCCCGTCTGCCGGCCCCAGTTCCAAATTACTTAGAGCTAGCTAAGCTGGAGAGACTGTCCACCCTCCTGAGGGCTCCAGCTGTCCCTAGATGTCTCTGGGACATGAACTTGTTCCATGAACTTGTACTTGTACCGTGAACACGTATAGGATTTGTCTCTACCCCTAGCCCTAGATTCTTCCAAGGTAGGACAAGGTCAGATTTTTGTCTCTAGCACTCATGGGGAGATCTTACAACACAAAATCCTAAAATCTCAGGCGGAAAGGAGCCTCCGCATCATTAGGTAATTAGTCCTTTCTAAGTATGTACAGTGCTTGACTTGTCTTATCTCACCACTATCTAGACAAGCCAGTGCTATCCTTCTCTCCCGTTTTTGATGTGAAACTGGAGTTTAGAGAGGTTAAGCGACTGGTTCAGGATCACCCAGCTCAAAGGCGGTAGAGCTGGAACTGGAACTAGGTCTGCCCAGTTCCCTGGCCAGGTCGTCTTCTCAGCAGCCGTGAGAAGAGTTTTCCATAGTCCCATCTCCCACGGCCCCTACCCCACTCACATGTTTCTCCACCGCCTGCAGGCTCCACTCCTCACTGTCACTCAGCTGGCCGCAGTGCACCTGCAGCGGTGGGAGAAGGAAGCCACGTGTGACCTCTCCCAGCCTGTCCCTGCCGGCTGGCCTGCCCTATGCCCAGCACACACAAAACCCTGTCAACACACACACTCCAGGCTCTGGGCCTCCATGGCAAGCCCGTCCTTCTGACCACGAAGACAGCCTCAGGAAAATCCCCTCCCACAGGAAGCCTTCCAGGGCAGATCCAAGGAGTAGAACTTTCTGCCTCTGCCCATCTTTTTGCATCAACAGAATCCCACTGCTGGGCCAATTACTGTCCAGGTGTACAGTACTGGACAGACAGACCTTTGGCCCCCATCAACTGCCCACTCACAGAGCCCTTCAGGCCGTGATTTTAGAATTGGTGGTGTTAGCCTCAGCATCCCAGCTCCGTCCTCTCAAATTAGGGTTTGAGCTGCCCCTCTGTCTGGGGTAAAGAAAGGAGTCCAACAAGATGCATCTGCTAGGCCATGGGGAGCACGTATGGACGGACGGATGGACGGATGGGGTGCTCTGCCTGACGTGTGATTCTTGCCACAGTGTGATGCAGCCTTCCACCTGGCAGAGGTGCCAAGGCCCAAATAGGCTGAGGGATTTGCCCGAGGTCACAAAGCAGAAAGTCGCAGTCAGGACAGCTTCACTATTCCCCCTTCCCTTTCCAGATCTGCTCTCACCACCACCCCATCATCTCGTCCCTCCCCCGGCACCAGGGCTCCCCTCAGCCAGCTTGCATGCTCTGTGAAGTCTCTTCCTCCACCCTGCCTGGGTGCTTGATGAGGAAGATGAGAAGAGGGCGGGGTAGCAGTCTAGGGGCCCCAGGCAGGCCCTGCCAGCAAGGCTTCCCACCTGCGTCACCAGCTTCCTCGCCTACTCGAGCTGCTCACCACCTGCAAGGCTCCCTGCAGTGCTGCACTGGGGGCCCCTCCTTCATCCTGCCCCCGTGGCGGGCCTCAGCAGCCCCTGCCTGCTTCCGCTCTGGGTGCCCTGCCAGGAGCAGATGGAGAGGAGGAGACCAGCAGGTTCCCAGGAAGTGCATGGCAGGTGGGGGGGTGGGCAGGAAGGGGATGAGTAGGGGGATGCGCCTGGGGGAGGTGCAGAGCCTCATACCTGAGGAAGGAGAGGACAGATGGCCTGGGCCATGGAGCCAAGCAGGGAGGCATGTGGGAAGCTCCCTGCATGGACAGGTCAAGCAGAACCAGAGGGGTCCCTCCAGGCAGGAGGCTGTCCTGGTGGTGCTGAGTGGCAGGTATGTGTGGGGATGAGGACATAGGCAGGGTTAGAGTCCAGAGTGCCAGAGGGGGAGGGCCTTGACTGCCCGGCCAAGGAGTTAGACTTTAGCCTGAGAGTACTGGGGAGCCATGGCGGGATTTAGTATCTGGGGCCCCTAGTCTATGGGGTAGAGGGTGAATTAGGGAAGCAAGACTGAAGGAAGACCTGGAAGAGACCTGGGTAGCCAAGGAGGGTACTGAAGCTTAATCTCTAGATGGGGCTATCTCTGTGAAGCCCACAGGACAGGAGGTGGACAGAAGCTGAGGCCAGGGTTCATTTGCATATGATTTACATAAACATGTTGGTATTTTATTGTTAGTACATGGAGGAAGGCATCCTTCCTGTTCCTTCCACCTGGTCTCATTTTCCAGGAAAAAGAGAAGGTGCAGAGCCAGGAGACTGAAAAGGGTGAGGGAAGGGAAGGAATCACAGAGTCCCCCTACCCTATCACACAGCCCTGGGCTGCTCAGTGGCCACATACTTTTACAAAGAACCTCAGGCCCCCTACATGCACACCTACACTCACTCTTCGAAGAGTCACACACATGCAAACATGACGCAAGCAGACACAAAGGCATCCATATGCAGTGTGCACACATCCACATGTGTACATTCTCTAGAGTTCAGCCATCCAAGATGCCTACCCTGATACACAGACACGCTCAGTTACTCCAGTACACTCACACGTAGCCTTTCACTCACCAACAGCAGCACACACTTGCACCTGCTCTTGCTCATCAGGGTGGGTGTCTGAGGCCAGGGGGAACACTCAGCAATGGGCACTGGGGCTGTAGTGAAAGTTAAAAACCCAGCCCAGCTGCCAATCCCTCAACTTCCAAAGTGCAAAGTGGCTAATGGCATACACACCCATCCACATGCAAGGAGCTGGTGTGGCAGGCACAGCTGGGGGGAAGAACGGGTCCAAATCAAGCATCCAATGCCAGAGACAAAGGAACACCCACTCCTCAAAGGGGCTTATTATTCCAGCACTGAAGAACAGAGCCAGACTTTCTAGAAGAAGATTCCACAGTCAAGACGCCTTGAGCTGTGAGCTGCAAAGGCCCAGAGCTCTGCTACATGGTCCTGCTCCTGGATGGCATTCTCCTCAGAGAGCACTTGCTGACTATGGCTTCCTCGGCCCCGATATACTCTTAGAGCTTCCCATTTTCCTTACTAGCACTTGCCATCGTTTGAAATTCTATCCCAATTTTGCTTACTTGTTTCGTGCCCTGCAGACTGTATGTTTTAGTCATCTCTAGGTCCTCAGAACCCAACACAAAGTGCCTGAGATTTAGTGGGTATTCAAATAGTTCTTTGGCTAGTGAGTGTATGGGTGGTAGATGGATGGATGGATGGATGGATGAATACCAAGAAGGGAGATCCAGAGAGAATAATGGGGCTTGAAGGAGTGGATGACTCCCAAAAGATCTGCCCTGTGGCACTCCCTCCATCCTTTGCACCCTTTGTACCCTCTGCACCCTCTTCCCTCAGAATCTGGTAGCAGCTGGGAGGTCCAGGGCCACCTGTGCTGCCTCTAGGAGGATATGAGATCCTGTGGCTTCAGAAGCATCTCTCAGATTTTGCCTGGGGAGAAAGGGTGTCCTGGGGAAGCGCATTTCTATCTAAGTGGGAAGGTGCAGGCTAGGGGGAGCAGCAGATGGTGAATAATCCAAACACCGCTGGAGAGGTCATCACTACCCAAGGTATCTGAGAAGGTGAGCGGATGGTTGCAGAAAACTTCTGGCAGCCAAAACCCCAGGTAGCATCTTCCTCAACAGCATGCACCCCACACCTCCACCTCAACAGGATCACACTCCTCCCCCAACTCACCGGTCTCTCGCTCCCTGCCTTTGCTCATGGTATTTCCTTCTCTGCCTGTCAACCTCCTACCATGCTCCGAAGCCCTACTCTAATGCTCCCTCCACTGTAAGGAGCCCGCTGCTGTTCCAACCTCTGCCACCAGAGAACCTGCTGGCATCATTTATGTCAACTGGACTGTGGTAGCCCCAGAGTGTGCATGCCTTTTCCTCAAACTGCCTTTCCTCCTAGAAGGCAGAAACAGTTTGCCCCAGAACTTAGCCTGGGGAAGCCCAAGAAGGGTTCTGCTGGGTGAGTTAAATTTACATGATCTGATCTAACCATCCTCCTGACCTGACCCGCCTTTCCTCTTGCAGCTGAAGCCTAGATTCCTGGCCCACCAGGAACCAAGCTGACCAGCAGACACAGGGACCATTCTGCTGCCCAAGATGAACAACTTTCCAAATGTCTTCCTCTTGCTGGGGCTACCTCCCCTCTGTCCAGTCCTCACAGCCTCAACAGGAGGAAGTGCTTCTCAGGAGTTAGGCACCCCCAGACCCTTTCCCCTAGGCCTGGTCATCCTCCGGTTCTGGGACATTTGCCCAAAGGAGAGGGGAGCTACCCACTGATCACTCTGCCAACCGCAGAGCCCCTCCTTGCAGAACCAGAAGCTAGGGAGGGGAAGAAACTTGCCTAAGAAGCCAAGAAAGGGCCTCGTCTCCCTCAGTGGGGCAGATGGGGCATGGAGAGCCAGCCGAGCGTCCTCCCCTCCCCTGGCAGCTGCCACCCTCCCTGCAGCAGCCTGGGAAAGGTCAGGCTCCTTGGAACCTTTTAATTCCATTTTAATGAGCCGAGGAGGAGTCCCCAGACACACCCAGACCAGCTTATTCATCTGCCCAGGGTGGCAGCCACCGCAACCAAAGCAGAGCCCCCACTGATGGAGGCTTGGGGTGCTAACTGTTCCCTACCTAGGAAAGGACAGTTGTTGAATTCCTCACCTCCATGCAGGAGCAGAGACTGGAAGAGCTGCAGAATCTTGGCTGGAAAAGCTCCACCACCACCCCTGCTTCCCCACCCATCACCAGGGTGACAGCAGAACCTCTTTGAGGGACAGCAAAGGGTGCTGGGACCCCACTGAGTTCCTCGGCCACCTTCACCCTGAAGCACACCCCCTACTTCCCACTGAGGCCCTTCCTCTCCCCTCCATGGCACACTCCAGGCGGTGCCCTAGCTGCCTGGCTCCTGCCCAGCCTAGCTGGGTCTGGCTGGGCCCATGCCTTCTCAGGAATTGCCTCAGGGGGCCTCCTGTCCTCGAGTCCCAATTCCAGCCACCCCAATCAATCACTAACTGGCTTTCCCACAGTCTCTGCTGGCCCCCGCTCAGGGTCCGTCAGTCAAGGCCCACTTCACTGTGTGCTCTGTTGGGCCCTGCCTCCAACCCACTAAGACGATTGCGAAGAGGAAACAACAGTCTGGATATGCCAAGGGTGGGGCTTCTGCAGCTCTGCGGGACAGGGTGTCCTGATGGGACTTGGGCATCTCTCAGAAAGCTGTTGATTCTTGAGCAGCTTCCTCCTGCCCATTCTACATGGGGCCCAGTACTGGGCAGTGGGAAATGACCAAACTTTCTTCTCCAACCACCATTTCCCCTTACCCCATCCCAGTTTTCTGCTGTCAGTCATCACACACACACACACACACACACACACACACACACACTGATCACTCTGCCAACCGCAGAGCCCCTCCTTGCAGAACCAGAAGCTAGAGAGGGGAAGCAACTCGCCTGAGAAGCCAAAGAGGGGCCTGGTCATACACGCACATGCACACACCAGACAGGCTCCATCCACGGCTCCCCCCCCCCGACCCCACCATGTAACCCAGCTGCCGGAGCAGGCTCTTACCAAGATGACAGCAGCCACTGCCCCTGCCTCCTTGTCCACCAGTGGTATGATCAGCACTGAGGAGGAGAGGGCAATGAGGTGATCCTGCAGGGCCAGTGAGGCTCAGGGCTACTGAGCAGGGACCCCGGGAGGGAGACAAAGACGCAGACAAAGGCCAGGACAAAGACACAGAGAGCCCCAGAGGCCCAGTGAGACAGAGAGAGGGGTCGTGAGCCAGCCACAAAAACAACCCTAACCATGAACCCTACCTAGAAGGAAACCCCCTCACTTGACAACTGTCTTGTGATCCTCCCAGCAACCCTGGAAGGGAGGGAGACAGGGCTGAGCACCCCTGCTTTATAGATCGGGAAACTGAGGTCCAGAAAGGGGAAGTGACTTGCCCAAGATCACACAGCAAGTCAGGTCTCCTGACTCCCAGTCTTGTGCATTTTCCACATCGAGACAGAGGACAGAGACCTAGAGAGACTGAGACACGAGGCAGAAGAGACGTGGCAGACAGGGGGCATGGGGAGGAAAAGAGAAACAGAGGTGGTGATAGAGAGCGAGACGACAGCAACAGCCCCATCTGACAACAGGCACAAGCACAGGGCAGCCACAGCCCTTGGCCACTGAGCGCTAGTAGGTGCCAGGCCCTTCACATGCATCGTCTTATTTGCTCCTTGAAATGCCCCCTCCAGGTAGGAACTGTTGTCCCATTTTACAATCAAGGAATTGAGGCTCAGGGCGATTAGTAGCATGACAGAGAGGGAATTAGATGGAGGGATTGCTGGAAACACAGAGCAAAAGAAAGGAGAGGATGGGTAGAAGACAGACATGTCCTGGGAGCAGATCCACAGCCCTCCCTGACCCTGCCCAGCTCTCAGCTCTTACCTTGAGTGTCAGGAGCCAGTGGAGCTACCATCCTGGCCAAGGGCTTCCCCGGCAGGTCTGAGGGGCCCAGCCCATTGCAGCTCAGCCGCTTCTGAGAGATCACAGCCTCTCTAAAAAGAAGACATGTCCCACCTCTCAGTTCCTGGATCAAAGAGGAGGGAGACCAGTCTGGGGACACACAGGGAACTGCACCCTACACATGTGAGGATCTGGACAAGTTCACCTGCCTGGTGCTGGACAAAAACCCAGGTGGAAGGTTAGACAGCCACAGCCTGGCTTCTGGTGCTGGCAGACGTGGGAAAGGCATGTGTGTGGAGCCCAGTGCAGACCCCCGGGGGACAAGAGAGCTCAGAAAGCAGCAGCAGGGCTCAGAGTCAGGCCGATGGGGTCAAGTCCTGCCTGTGCTGCTACTTGATCTTAGGCAGGTGATCTCACCTTCCTGAGCTTCCCAGGGATATCAAGGATGGGGAGAGTAGAACCCTCCCAACGCCATTCTTGGAAAACAACTGTAGGGCAAGTATTGGTGCTAAACACCAGAGGGAGACTCGGGAGGTAATCCCCATAGCTAATGCTCATAGGGATTTTCTTCTGCGCCGTGTATGGTCTAAGCAACTTACACAGATTGACTCAGCATTCCTAACAAGTTTACGGGCTACAAATTGTCATCATCTCTGTTTTCAAGTGGAGAAACCAAAGCACAAAGAGGTTATGTAAACTGGGCAAGGTCATGTGGCCAGTAAATGCCAGATTTTGAACTCAAGCAGTTGGCTCCAGACTAAGGCTTAACCACTATGCTTGAACCATCCCGAAGGCCTGTGGGGTATGAGCCTCGAGCAGGGGACTGGCATAGAGGCGGCACCAAGGCAAGAGAGGTTGGCTGTGGGAATAACGACTTTATCTTTGCCCTACCACACATACCACCCTTCCCCCAGATCCCTGGCTCTTCCTGCTTGATGAAACGCCAGATTTTTCACCAAATGTCACTCCTTGATGATTAATTGTCTTGGGTTCCTCATCTCTCATGCCACCTCCACTTAATTGTGTTTATAGCAACTGTCTGATTGGGACAGGAGAGAAGCTTAAGGGCCTGGCATGCTGGTGTATGCATTTGGAGTCCCTAACAGGAATCAGTGCAGGTCAGATGGGGAAAGGAGCAGGTGGTCTGCAAGTCATTAGATCAGGAGGTCACAAGCACTGTAGAAACTGCGGACCAAAGTTGTGAAGCATCTTGTTCAAGGTCACACAGCACCCAGAACCAGACTTGTTCCCTCCTGGCTCCTTCAACCCGTGCAGCATCCACAAGAACCAGAGCGTCTCCCACCTTCCAACCCTCACACCCTGCACCTTTGAGGCTCCCCGTTCCGGGCTGTCTCGACTGCCTACAGCCAACCCAGGAAGGAACAGAGACCTAGCGGGGCAGGTGGACAACTTGAGCCTGATGACTAAATTGATGAAGGCGGGGCTTCACGGAGGCAGGGCTGACCTTCAGCCAAGCCCCACCCAGCTACTTGGCCTCGGGTTACCTGGTTACCTGGTTATCTGGTTATCTGGAAACCACAAGGTGGCACTGGTTCCCGTGTTGCTGGTCACTCAGCCCTGCAGCTTCCTGGGGACTCCTGACAGTTCCCCCTCCTACCTCTAGACCTGGGCTGCCTTGGCACCCGGAAAAACAGTTCTGTGTTCAGTCTTTCTTCTCTTCTGTACAAAATTCGCTTCTCTATGCTCAGAGCTTGTGATTTCTCCAGCTCTCACTCCTGAGCTCCAGACTCCAGCTCACCGAAGGCCTCCCCTGCATGTCCCTAAGGTGCCCTACAGGCACCTCAGTCTGAACCTATCATCTCTCCCCTGTCAAAGCAGTATAACCATCCACTAGGGGTTGGGAGCTTGCTTGAAAACTGTCCTAGCTCCCTCCCTTTTCCTTACCTCCCCAGCCAATTGGTGAATCACTTCCCACCTTTGTGCACTATTCCCTAGTCCTAAGTCACTGTCTCAATCAAATAGAGACACCTCTCCCCTAAACCTTGCCACAGCCCTCCCCCACCAGCTTCCAGCCTTCATCCGATCTCTTAAACCCATCCTTCATGCATGAGCAAGAAGACAGTGTCTAAACAAAAAATTCAGGGGAAGGGGCCATGGTGGCATATGCCTGGAATTCCAGCACTCAGGAGGCTGAGACAGGAGAATTGTGAGTTGGAAGACAGCCTGGACACAGTAAGTCTCTGTCTCAACAAACAAAACAAAGGAAAATCCTCATGAGAGCATGAGTGCATTCTACATAGAGTCCTCCATTCCACAGGGCCTTTCTGATGAGACTGGGCGCCTTCTGGGTCAGTTCGGTACTGAGGGCAGAGCTGAAGAGGAGTGAGACCCAGGCCTGACTCGGGGAGCCCAGCATCATGTGGAGGCTGACAGACAGATCCACACTTGAGTCAGGAGACAAGGACTCCAGCAAAGGGAGGAAGAGGAGGCCCTAGCCCACTGAGGGGCAGGATGGGACTGGGGTCAGAGAAGGCTTCCTAGAGGAGAGGCCTCATGAGCAGAGTGCTGAAGGACTACTGTCTAGACAGATAGGAAGGGATGTGCAGGCAGAGGGAACTGCAAGCGCAAAGGCTCAATGATGAGAAGAATGCAAATGTGTGGGAAGATCCAGCCACAGGAGGTTGCTGTGCTGGACAGCAGGAGGCAAAGTAGGCAGAGGCCAGGGCCCTAAGGAACTGCTTGACCTCGAGGCCAGTGGGAGCCCTAGGAGGGATTGGAGCTAGGGAAGGTAGCAGCCAAGTTTGATTTCAGACCATCATGCAGGCTACTGGGTAAAGTTCTCACTGGAGAGGAAATCTGGTCACGGTGAAGGCCCCATTGTCTTAGTGGCCCTGGACAAGGAGAGGCCAGGCTGGGAAAGATCACCCTTGACTGGGCCCAGGTCCTCCTCAAGTACTGGGCCCTCCGAAAATCCGCAACTTTCCGAAGGCCTTTGCTCCTTGCTCTGCAGCCTGCCTTCTTCAAGTCCTGCACGGACCACAGCCCCAGGCAGGGCTGTGCCAGGCACTGTCACCTCACCCTGTCCCCAGTACGAGCCCCTTTCCTCAGCTGCACCCTTCCCAGGACAGCTGACCTCCTGGAAGCTTCAGAGAGTCCCACAGACTACAAGAGGGGAGGAGGTGTGCGGCAGGGTCTCCCACCATGAGGGAGGGGCTTTCCTAATGATCAGAGCCCCCATGGCTTGCCCCTTGCCTCAGAACCCTTACTGGCTTCCACCCCAGCTCCTACCTCCCTCCCTCCCCCCGCCACTGCCCCACCTTCTAGGTTGATGCTGGGGGCTGAGGGGGTGGCAATCCACACCCAGGGCCAGCTGTCCAGGCTGAAGGCCAGTGACTCAGCCCTGGGTGCCAGGGTGGTCATGGTCTGCCCTACTGTGAAGACAGATGGGCAAGAGTAGAGGAGGAATGGGTGTGGATTTTTATGAGCTCCATCCCTTTAACAACTATTTGTTTAATGGAAAAAGAATCAAGGGAAAGGCGCGCTATTGCTAAGATCGCCTGGAAAGGGCTGGGTGCCCAGGTCACCCCCCTCTCCAAACCCTTGCATCTCTCCCTGATCCTCATCCCTAATGAGGCCCTTTCTCCTTAAACCTGACCTTTAGCAGCGCGCTCACTGAGCTGCACGCCCCCTAAGCCCCAGCCTGAGTGTCCAAGCCCTGTACTGAGCCCTGTACCCCGCTGGGCTCCATCTCATCTCTGGCACCATCCTCCTCACCGATCCTCAATCCCCCACCCCCCGCCACCACCTCCCTGAGCCTTCGCTCCTTGCTAATCTCCTTGCCTCTCACCGAGCACCCCCTCCCCATCTCCCTGGGCATCCACCTCTCTCTGACCTTTCATCTCTTTCTTGAACACAAATTGTGATCCAGACCAGGAATTAGACTTTTTTATTCTCCTCTGCTATCCCCCCAGAATATGAGAATACAAAGAAGGGAACAGAAAATCTCCTGTGTTCTCCAAGACAAACCACAGTGTCAGACAGATTCTGCAGAGAGAGGAGACCAGGTCAGGCCTGGGGAAGCAATTTCTCAAGGCTGGGCCCTGGGACCCCGGAGGGTAGGGGAGGCAGACACCCAGTCTGGGCTGGGAGAGCAGAGCTCTGGGGTACCTTCCTGAGCTTAGCATTGGGGAATCAGAGGCTTTAGGACGGCGGGAGACACAGTAAGAAGAGAAAAACAGCAGGTTGGGGACTGAAATAGGCTGGGAGATCAGATTGTGGTAGGGGCATCAAGAAGAGAGAGGCGAAGCCTTCCAGGATCCTCTCCGCTCCACCCCCTTGGGCCCCCTAGAATTCAGAACCAGCCTTTGACATCAGAATATCCACCCTTGTCATTTCACAGAAGGGTAGACCAAGGCATAGAGAGGTAAGCATGGGTTTGTTCTGGGATCACAGCTCTCCTCATTCCCAAAGCCCAGGAAACCTTCTTGGACCCACCCCTGGGGAAGCCACTAGGTCCAGATGCCTCTTCTCAAGACTGGCTCTCTCTCAGCGCCAGGGGACCAGGGAGCAGGCTTTTGGAAGTGGCCTCTGGCAGCGCCATGGTGGACGAGGACAGTAGGATTGGCTGAGGTTGAGGTGAGGCTGGGGAAAATCCTATGGAGAGCAAACAGCAGGAGCACCTCCAGAACGCAGAAGAGCCAAGCCTCTCGGGAGATGAAGCAGGCAGGGGAGAGCCTACTGGGTGACGGTGCGGGGCAGGGCAGGTAGGGCTGGGAGACCGAGGGGGCCCCTCACACCTGCTTGTCCCTTCCCAATACCACCCTTGGCCTATTCTCTGCCCCTTCCTTTGGGCTTTATCTGACTCTACAGTCCAGCTTTGATGTCACACCTCTGCTGTTGCCAGCCCCACTAGTGCTCCAGGATTTCCTGGAGAATCCCCCTTTCCTCGGCCCACCCCTCAGCCGACTGGCAGGTGCCTCCACCCTCTGATAGGACGAGAGCCACAGGGTCACCGCCAAAAGAAACCTGTGCCCAGCCCCACCTCTTTCACAGAAAAATGACCGAGTCCAGAAGGAGAGTAATTTTCTCAGTACCCAAGATTAACTCCTGGTTGGACTTGGAAGTGGAGGGCAACTAGCAATCAGAAGCAATGGTGGCGGGCCGTGTGCTATGCACTGGGCACGCGTTATCTCATTAAGCCCACAGGCCCTTTGGGTGGGATACAGCGAGGGAGGGAGGGGTGGGTTACGATGCAGACTTGTCTGACTCCCATCCAGTGCTCATCCCTCTTCCACATATCTAGGTCTCAAGCCCCTACCCTGGGAGTGCCCAAGAGCAGGGCACTCTGCCCCAGCCAGCTCTGGGGCTCTGCAGCCCTTGTGATGGAAGCAAGCTCACCAGCAGACCCCAGATGTCCCATACAGGGGCGGACAGAGATTCCAGAGAGAGTATTGGGCCTGAACATTCACCCTGAGTCCTGTGGGCCCCATCCTGACCCTCTTTTCCCTTCCTTCCTCACTAGCCTGCCCCAGCCCCCTAGAACCTCTGACCTGTACCCAGCAGGCCCTCACCTCCCATGTCTACTGAGCTTTGGGCTAATTGCATTTTCACATTCGCTTTTGATTGCCTTCTTCTTCTTTGTCCAGAAGCGTCATGGGACTGAAGTCCTCCCAGCAAGGCCTTCCTGGCAGAGTTGAGCTGGTAATAAAGTTCTTTAGCATTCAGATGAGAGGGGCTGGTGGCTCCAAGGAGAAAGGGGACATTACAGCATTTTCTTCCCTAAGATTCCACAGGCCTTCCAGCCCTGTCTCATTGCCTTGTAGAAGGAACACGGGGGCCAGAAGGGAGAGGCTGGCTTTGTTTGCATAGTCCTTGAGGGGAGAAGGTACCAGGAGAAGTGGACCCTCCCCCTGCCCCGGGAACTCAGTGGCAGGAAAAGAGGCGAGCAGGCTCTGAGCTGTTGGAGAGGAACCAGCTACTTCCATAGGGAAGCAAGGAGAGAACTCTCCCTAGAACCCAGGGCTCTCGGTGCTGGGGAGGGCAGACTCAGGACCGCAAGACCAGCATCTCCAGACAGAATTATTTCCATGGCTCTGTGAATTGTGAGTGGTTGGTCAACCTCAGGAATAGCTGGAAAAGCCATGTCCTCTCCTCTGAGGGCACAGAGAGCTCTCCTGGGAACAGCCCACTTTGTCCTCAGCTCCCAGCCCAGTGCTCCTGGGCCCCATGATGGCCCTTTGTTCAGTTCTTGGAAAACAATGGTAGGTTCCCGGAGCTGGCCTCCTCTCTACTTTGCTCAATTGCCCTTTGATGCCTTCTCATGGACAAGACCCACTTCTCACTGTCCCCTGAACAGCCAGGAGCAAGGAGACTGTGTCCCAGGTCTGAGATACCAGACCTGGCTCTGCCTCCCGCTGGTATGTGGCCTTGAAGATCTCACAGCATTAGCCCATCTGGAAAGTGAAGAAGCAGAATTCAGTGGGCTCAGAGGTTTCAGGGGACCATAGGGCTCTGAGCCCTCGATCCTAGTCTCTCATTCTGAGACGCTGCCATAATAATGCCAAATAGTGCTCTATGGATCTAGATGGATTTTGTTTGTTTTCCTTTTTCCTGGTACTGGGAACTTGAGCCCAGGGCCTTGTAGATAGTAGATAAGCACTCTAACCACTGAGCTATTCCCTGACCCCTTTTTATTTCTGTTTTCTGATAGAGTCTTGCTAAATTGCTCAGGCTGGCTTCAAATTTCAGATCCTTCTGCCCCAGCTTCCTGAGTAGCTGGGATTACTGGGATCAGGCTTATAGATACTTTACATATATTAAGTGCATTTAATCCTTCATAAACCCTATCATCGTTAGTATCACAATCACAAACAAGAAAAATGGGGCACAGAGAAGTTTCATAATTTGTCCAGATTTACACAGCTAATAAACAGGGAGCTGGGATTGGAACCCAGGCAGCAGGCCTCCAGCACCCTCAACAAGATGCTGCCTCTGATCTCTTGCTCTCAGATTCAGAGGGCTTGCACCATGCACTCCTGCAGGCCCTGCACCCTGTGGTCCCAAGCCCAGCCTCACAGGGGGCTGCCATACCATTCTGGAATTTGACAATAGCCCAGGCCTTCTGAGACTCCACTCAACAGCCACAGAAATTCAGGGCTCTTTGAGAAGAAAATCTACCAGTTGGTACTTTCTCTTGTGCCGCTTCCCCAGCACAAGGAGAGATATTGCTTCTTCCCTTTTATGCTGAGATCAGTAACCTGGCCAAGACATACTCTAGCAGAGACACTGGGGTCAAATTGGAAAGAGAAGCTCAGATCAAGTGAGCCTGGAAGGTGCCCCAGCTCTGAGAATCCTGGCTGTGCAGCTGGACAGTGTGGGTGCAGGGAATGGCTTACCGGACTTTCCCCTCTTGTGGCAGCTCATGGTGGGGGTCCTCGCACACCAGTCGGGACTCCCCATCCAGCAGGTAGGTGTAGACTGTCTCCTATGACAAAAAGGACTCCCTGTGAGACCCCCTAGAGAAGCCTCTCCCGCCCCATCCCAGCCTGTGCGCAAGGGTCTGGAGGGTAGTCATGGGCCCTCAGGAGCAGAGCTCTGGTGCAGGTTTGCGTTTCAACCCCCACAAACTGAGCACCCACCTGCTCTGCTTGCAAGGGGTTCCGGGCAGGTAATCACCCACAAACCTCCCAACTTTCCTTTTCCAAGGTGCTGGGGAAAAGCTTCAAGGCCTTAGGCTTAGGCAAATCACTCCACTGGGGGAAACTCCCCTACCTGACTTCAACCTCTGGCATTCAGCAAACAGTGTATGAGCATCTGCTTTGGGCCATACCGAGGGTGGGGCTTAGAGTGGCCCAGGAGGCTTCCTCATATCTGCGGGGACCCATACTGGTGATCATGACTGGAGCCAAGAGAGGAGCGCAAAGAGGGTACTGTAGCCATCCTCTGTGGAGTCCTGGAGGGCTTCCTGGTGGAAGTGACATCTAAGCTATACTTGAGTGGGAATTAGACTCACTGGGGAGTAGGTGGGTTCCAGAATTGGTTCTCAGGCCAAGTGAGGAATGCCTAGAGGTGGAAAGAGCTCAAAGCATTTAGGGCCTGCCAGTGAGAAGGGCCATGAGGGGCCGGCTAGGCCTAAGGAGGGCTGAACCCAAAGGGTCTTAGAAACAGAGCTGGGGGAGAGAGGGGCGGGCAGGCAGCCGGACAGGAGCCAGTGTGCATTTTGGAAGGATCACTCCCTAGAGAGCAACGCTCTTATTCAAGCTTGTCAAACCTTCAGCTCTACCATCCTCCCTCCCTAAAGCCCAGAGGTGTCCAGGGCCTCTGTTGCAGGCCACGTCTTGGCAGAAGTAATTCCCCTCTCTGACCCTTAGACAAAAAGCCACATTCCTTCCAAGCAGAACCAGTGCCCCTTAGGGGTCCCTGACCTCTGTTCTGCACAGCCTGGCCACACAGTTTTGCTATTTTCTCTACGGGAGGCCAGAGGGGCCACTTCCCTCCTCTCCTCTGCCCTCCCCTCCCCTCCCCACTCCTCTGAGGGCCTTAGGGAGGGAGGGCTTCAGGAGGAGGTGGCACGCTACTAGGTGCTGATGACCCAGCCTCAGTGTGGTCTTGCTCAGCAGAAGCAGTGCCCGTGCCTGTGCCTGTGAGGGGCCACCCTCCTGCCACCCCGCTCCTTGCCCTTGGCCGTCCCCAGCCAGTCCCCGGGAGGTGCCCCAGCACTGTGTCCAGAGACACTAAGCCAGTTCAGTGGTGGCACAAGTGGGAATGACAGGCCTAAAGGGGGTCGGCAGGCGTTCCTAGCAAGGACTGGGGCCTCCTCACCCTCCTGGGGTGAAGGTCGAGGTTTCTGTTCAAGAATAAAGAATTCAGGGGGAGAGATCCCCCCCGCAAATCTACCCTCATGGCATCCAGCACCCGAGGGCCAGGGGTATTTGGGGCAAGTGGGCTTAGAGCTGCCCAGGGCCACGCACACAGCCTTAGCAGAGAGCCTTGAGGGGTGGAGGGGAACAGGTTTTCGTTTCACTTCCGGATGCCGGCATCTCCCACCCCCTCACTTTCAGCCCTCTGGGTTAAAATTAGCCGAGTTTATGGGAGAGGGAGGGAACCATCTCAGACCCATCAGCACATCTGCATGCGGGGCTGGCTGCACAATGGGTGCTGATGAGGAAGCCAGGTGCCAGCAGCTCTCCTCCCTCCTGGCGTGGGGGCCCCCTTCCCAGCTCCCCGCTCCCTGGGCAGAGTGACCTCAGCTCCCTCAGCTCCCTGGGATCCCAGGCCCCCACCCCACAATCTGGCCAGGACTCCCTCAAGTCAGGGCATTCCTAGCTCATTATAGGTCTCTCAGATAGGCCAGGACGCTATTGCCACTGTCCCAGGGTCCCACTGGCTTGGATCACAGTTGTTATCCCAGCCCCGGCACTGGGGCTGGTTATTCCAGTACAGGATGTCTATACCAGCCCAGGGCACCAAGCCAGTCTCCTCCTCCTCCTTGGGCCCAGGGTAGCCTCCAGGTCCTCAGGGAAGGTCCCTGGACAATGACTTGCCAGCTTCCCCTGTCTTCCCTTTCCAGATGTGCCAGATGTTGCCTCAGTCCCATCCCTCTCTGGAAGTATATATTTTTGGGCGCCAGTACACCACCCACTTCCTACCAATTTCACACTCAATAAAGCTCAGTCATTAGCCCTCCTCCTGGGTGCTGAACTTCTAGGAGGTTTCGGGAAGGCAAAGCTGAGGGGAGGGAATGGGGGTGCCTAGGTGCCAAATCCCATTTGTCCCTGTCATGCTGTATGACCTTGGGGGAAGTGCCCTCCCTCTCTGGGCCTCCGGTGGTTCATCCATCATGCAAATTCAGGGACAATGAGTTCTGTTGGAGCGAGAAGGTCCCATCCTGAGTTGGTTGCATATCCGGGCATACAAGCTGCCCTTGGCTGGTGGTTAGACTAAGGGAGAGGACATTCAAGGCCACAGAGACTCAGTTTGGGCATCTCCTCCTCCAGGAAGACTTCCTACTGTTGGTAAAAGGTGAAAGATTTATATGATCTGAAGAGAAACCAGAGTATATAAATATGTCTTTTTTTTTTTTTTTTTTTTTTTGGTTTTGGTTTTTTTCTGGTACCAGGAATCGAACTCACGACCCCTACTGTTGGGTTGGATCAGATCCCATCTGGCAGATACCTGAAGTCCTCTGCTTCTTCTACCTGGCATAAGTGAGACCCTGCTGCTTTGGGCCTCAAGAGCTGGTTTATTTGCCTTTCTGCTAAAGGATGAACAGTGGCCACTGAAGCCAGCTTGGGGAGTGACCTGGGCCAGCTGAAAAGGGACACAAATCCCTCAGCTAGACGCTTGGGGCCCAGGTGGCCATGGTTACCACCCTCTGCCTGTCCCACAATTGCAAATTCATTCATGGTATTGGGATGGAACACAGGGATGCTTAATGACTGCTAAAGGCTACTGCCTCCAGGTGGGACACTTAACCCAACGCAGATTCAGTCATCAAGCCTGAGCCCTCTAACACATCCAAGCCCCGACATCTCGGAAATTCTTCAGACCTACCCTCAACCTCTCCTGCTGCACACATTCCAAAGCCCCCCTGACTCCACCACTGCCTGTTATCCTAGGCGGATCCCTCCCGTTATTGGAGACAGTTTTTCCATTAACAATTAGGAACCTTCTGGCTCAGACACTGCAGGCTTCCTATGCAAATTCATGCTTCCTATGCAAATTCATGCTTCCAGGCTCAGCCGCAGCCCCTAACCCCCAAGCCCTGTCAGGACACAGACCCGGACCCTCTGCTGCCCCTTGGCTTTGAGCGAGGTCCTGTGTAGGGCTGGACTTGCAGGGTGAGGACGGCACCTACCACTCTGGGGAGCACGGCTGAGAGGGCCTCCTTGGCAGCCCGCCGCAGGCCCGCAGTGTCGATGACAGAGCCCAGGGTCAGCAAGGCATCCTGGAAGAGAGAAAAGGGCAGTGAGGGTTTTGGCTGTGTAGGCTAGGGCGGTTGCGTAGCTCAGAGAGCTAAGAACACAAAGCCCCTCTTTCAAGCAAGCCTGAGGCTCCCCAACACTTGAATGCTCAGAACTTCAGACTCAGACAGCATTATGGCCACAGGAAGTCCAAGTCCCCTCATCTCTCATTCAAACTGAGGCTCAGAGAAGGGACAGGGACCTGGCCCAAGTCTCACAGTAAGTTAGGAGGTAAAACCCAGAGTAAAACCCAGTCTTTTGTCCTTTTGTGGAGGACAACCCTGGGGAAGAAGGAAAAACGCAAGCCTTCACGTTAAAATAAACCAGCAAAAATGAGCAAACAGCAAAAACCCACCCAAAACTGAATGCCGGCTTCACTATGTATTAGCCTTGTTGTATGTATTAGCACTATGTATGTGCCTTGGTTGAGTCACTGAGATTCAGTCTTCTATCTGTAAATGGGGGACAAGTGTGGCTTTCACCCTCAAGGGCTGACGTAAAGACAAAATGAAACTGAGCACTAAACAATGAAAATTAAAGGTGCCTCAGACAGTGCCCAGCCAAGACGGTGCTCAGCCGAATGCTTGCTACAGTTGGGACCCTGCATTCTCCCCAGCAGGGAGGGGTCTCGCCCAGTCTCACGTGATAGCCGAGGGGCCAGGGCAGCCTGAACCCCTAGCTGGGCCATCCCAGCAGCCAGAGGAAGGGAAGACTGTCTCACGGAACCAGGCCTTGTCCTTGGAGAGCTGGAACAGAGACAACAAAGGTCCCTGCTTCTCGCTCTGTTAACTCGGCCAGAGCCGTGGGGATCAAAGAGAAAAGTAACGGGACAGGGGATCCAAGGCCAAGGCAAGATCGTGACTCACACCATCCTCTCAGCCATGCTCTCTCCCCAGCCCTTGGAAGTCCTTTCTGATGTCTTCCCTGCGGGATAGCTGCATCTGTGTTCAGAAAGAAAAGTGAGCCTGGTGTAATAGCAGCACACACCTGTAAGGCCAGCACTCAGGAGGCTGAGGCAGGATTTCGAGTTTGAGGCAGGCTGAGCTACATAGCGAGTTCAAATTCGTGTGAAAATGACAGAAGGTTGAGAGTCTTAGTAGACCACAAATTCAACATGTGTGAGCAAAAGTCCATACTGCAAGCATGGATGGTAAAAACAATGCTGAAATTGCAGGCCATATAAACAGAGATCGATTAATCCAAGTAGGGAAGATGCTGGTTCCTCCACTTCTGTCATCTGGCTCAATCATCCTCAGTTCGTTGTTTCCCAGGTAAGGACAAGATGAGCCCCATCCAGAGGATGTGATCCATGTAAGGGGGGAATTGGAAGCCAGGTCTTACATGCGGCTAAAGCTGGATAACCCAGGGCAGCTTAACTTACAGCAGAGCAGACTCAGTGTTGTCGCTCTCCAACTCAAATTCCCAGACATCCAGCGTGTGTCCCCATGGACAGCTTGAGGACCCACAGGGTTACAAAAGAGTGAAGTAGGATTTCATCAATCCAGTGGAATAAAGCACACTCTTCCCAGCACAGCCATGCTACAAAGGCAGAGGCCAGCAGCAGAAAGTAAGGGAGTGAGCTTCCCACCCTGAGGGTGCACAAGAACGGGCCAGATGTCCAATTATTTGAAAGACTGCCACAGGGAGTCCTGCACCGGATCCAGGCTTTCATCCCTGGGTCTTCTTGGCTATAGTTTTCTCCTCCACCACCACCTCTGCTCAATCCAGTGTTCCCAGGACGAGAGGGCAGCAGAGGGCTTTCTCCCCAAATTCCCACTAGCCATGGCATCCCCCCAGCCTCCTTTTGACCCCTCACTGTGCTCCTGGATGAAGATACATCTTGCTTGTGGAGAGATGTCTGCCCTCTGACATCAGAAGCTGCTGATTCCAAACCATACAACTCCCAAACAGAGCGGTTTGTCCCGCGCCCCTTCGGCACTGCACTTCACAGTTCACATATCCAGCCACAGAGTCCACATCCCCACAGACACGCAGCATGCTCCAGACCGCTACACACACACACACACACACACACACACACACACACACACACACACACATTCTCTCTCATAGGTACATGGATTCCCAGGCAAGGACTCCAGCAACACCTGCTCACACAGCATCCACACAGGTAACTGTGGCCTTCAAGGTCAGTGCTGATGGCCAAAGGAGGAGGAAGAGCTGATGTTCCAGGTGATCTCAAAACAATCTCCCAGACCTGGGCTCCCCAAACTGGGGCCCAAGGGCAGCCCCCCCCATGATGGTGCTGGAGCAGACATATTGCTTCCTGGAGGTAGGGTTGTCAAGCTGACCCCTAAAAGGCTCTGCCCTCAGTGACACCTGGCATATGTGTGCTGGGGAAGCTGGGGAAGAGGGCATAAGGCAATGTAGTAAGCCTGATTAGGGGAGAAATTTTTCAAAGCCACAGGTTTCAGAAAGCTCAGTGTCCCCATTTGACAGATGAGGAAACTGAGGCTAAGAGAGAAACAATGATGCATCTGTGTTCAGCCAGCTTGTCAGAACAGAGCCAGATGCAGAACCCAAATCCTTGGATCTCCAGCTCCTGTCTGGCTCCAGCTCAGCACCCATCTCCCACCCCAGGGGGGCTTAGAGAGAACAGCCTGTCCTTTCTTCTGATTGGTGGGCACCGCAACCTGCCCTTTGCATTGATTGGGGGATGCTCTTCACTGTCCTTTACTGGAATTGGTGGCTGCCTGTCTGGCCTTTGTTCTGATTGATCAGTTTTCTGTGACTTTTTAGGCCAAGGGCAAAATAACAACAATGAGGGGGGCAAGATAGGAAAGTTGGAGGCAGTTAGGGCAGCAGCAAGGAGGGGCTTGGAGTAGGCGAAATGCAGACACAGCTAAGGGTCTCTGCTTGGTATCCACCCCTCACCCTCCTCCAAGCCCATTCCCGGAGTAGGGGATGTTGAGTGCAGGAACTGCTGCTAGGATGGGCCGCCTAGGACCTGGCAGACAAAGGGGCCGTCACAGTTTGCTCCTGTTCCACGGATCTTTCCCAGTTCTCAAAGCAACCTCACCTCCTCTGCACCACTCAGAGGAGGAAACAGCTCAAAGTCCAAAGCCCCAAGTTCAGAGGGCAAAGTGGCTGCCTAGTGAAGGGAGGAGAGAGCCGCTGGGGAGCAACTGCAAACAGGAAGTGGAGAAATTCCTGAACTGGAGGCACAGGTAGGGAGCCAGGCTCAAATCTGGGCTAGATCCCCAGGAACCATAAAAGGAGGAGGGAACAGAAAGCAGTTTACACGTGGGACACAAACGCAAAATTGCCATGTGTGCACCTCCACCCATGTCTATGTGCAAACACCCTCACACAAACACGCACACCCAGAGAAATGCAACCACATACCCAGTACACACACAAGCGTTTAGGCATGTGCACACAAAGAGCTCAGAGTGGGGTGAAAGAGGTCACATTTCCTGGCCTTGGAGATTTTTGAACAAACACCAGTGTGAATATCATCATAACAACCAAGTAATTTCCCAGACCCCAGGGGAGAGTCTTTGGTGTATAGAAAAGAACAGAGACTTCCAGTGTTGTCCCGGATTGATGACAGAAGCTCTGTGTGGCCTTAAACACGCCCCTTTCCTCTTCTGAGCCTTGGTTTTCTCATTAGTGAAAGTGGGTCTTTCCAGTTTTGCTGCATATAGTCCTGTGGTTTTTATTTAATTCACTGATGATGGGTGGATGGACAGAGGGTGGGTGGGTGGAGAGGTGCCTGATGGGCAGGTGGCTGGCTGGGTGGACAGTGGATGAGGAAGTGGAAAAATGAGTGAATAGCTGAGATGGGTGGGTGGGTGGTGGGTGGATGGTAGTTAGGTGGGTGGGTAAAGGAATGGACGGATGGAGCTTTCCTGTTCTCCCCGCTGCTCTGTGGTCTGAGGTAGGATCATCAGCACCGTAGACAGCGCCGTTCCCACACCCCAGCCTTTCTCCCAGGTACCAAGAAGGAGGAATCTCTTCTGAGTCAGGGCTCCTCTGAAGCCAGGGCTGGGGCTCTGAATGGGGCCAGGTCAGGTTCTGGAGAAAGTGAGAATCTGAACTGAATTACTGCGAACTCCTTAAAGCCTAAGGTTATGAAAACAGAGGCCTTGCCCCATTTGGAGCCACCAGCACAGGGGTTGATGGCCTTCTTGAGGGTCATTGTCACCAGCAGCTCTCCCGTCTCATCTCCGTGAGACTCCAGGTCTTTTTTCACCTCCACCTTCCTCCCATTTCGCTCTCTGCTGCCTGGCACCTACACCCCACACCTTCTGCTCTGCAGTGAAAGCTCACAGCACCCCTCTTGCTAGCCTGCAAGAAAGTAATAACATCAAACTCAAGAGTTAGTGCCAGCCATTACCGGGACTTGCCAATAATCCCAGAACTTTGGGAGGCTCAAGCAGGAGGAGCACAAGTTCAAGCCCAGCCTGGGCAACTTAGCAGTTTAGAGAGGCCCTGTCTCAAAAAAATTTTTCTTTAAGAGCTGGAATGTGGCTTAGTGTGAAGGCCTTAAGTCCAATCCTCAATACCACATGTGCATACACACACACACACACACACACACACACACACACACACACAAAGTCAACTACCTTCCTCCTGAGACTCAAACTGTGCTTACTGAGACTGTCTATTCCATTCCACCGCAGCTCTGCTTTTGCTGGGTACCCTGCATGATGGGGAAGGGATCTCTCAGTCTGGAACTTGTCCTTTCTGTAAAGGGAGGAAAGTTCCTCTAAGATCCTCTAAGACCCTGGAGCTCCTCTGTTAGGTTTCTCTTTCCTTCCCCTGGGCTAGGCGCTCCTAGTCCGAGTGGCTCGCTCTCCCTCTCCCCACGATTCTCTCAGTCAATGTCCATCTCTGCCACACGCTGCTCTCCTATTTTGCCTCTGAGTCACAACAGTTTTGCCACCTCCACATCCTCTCTCTTCCTCCCGATGACTTGTCCTCCCCCTCTACTTCTCTCTCCCGTGTACTCGCTGCC